TCCTGATTACACACTATTCCTCCACGGTCAGCGAGATCATACGAGCACACCTGCCTGGTGTGCCGCCAACAGTCGGTCTTGCTCGCCAGCCGAATTTTCCGCTTGCACCAGTCTACTCAGCCGTCAAGGAGACCGCTGGGAACTAGAGATTCAGTTTTTTGGCTTTAAGCCTACACTACCACCGAAAAAGGTGAAAGCGTATTCACTCGATGACGAAACATCGGCTAAAGCCTCGGGATCTTAAGCCCTAGCCCTAGCCCTGCCCTTAAAGCAGACCTCGAGCCCCAAAACCTGAACTGTAGGACCTTGGGACTTGAACCGTATACCCGAAGCCCTTGTTCAGGGATGTGTCAATGAAACCCTCTTTGCTGGGGCCGTAGGACCTAAAGACCTAAACCCGAAGTCCTTGTTCCCAGCAAGACAACAGCAATCGATACTTCGGGCCAGTAAGGGGGGAGAAGAGGCTAGCAGCTCCTGCGAGCTATTGCTGGATCCAGGGCTCCGTAAGGATTTCGGGTTCTAGGTTCGGGGTTACCAGCCCTAACCGCCCCAAAAAACCCTTTAATCTTAAACCCTGACCAATCCTTAAACCCTGACCAATCCTTAGCATATTTTCAATCCCTACAGCCCCTAAATCCCAAACCCAAAAGCTCTTAAATTAAACCCCGCGTCCAGCGCTAAACCTTGCCTTGGACTTGTCCAGAACCGGGTAGGCAGGCTGCGAGAGGATCCCACACTCACCTGCAAAAGGGGTGCAGTCTCGTACTGTTCCGGCCATAATAATTAGACTCATTGGGCTTCTATAGTCATGTTTGGGCCTTAATAACTAAAAGAGGCTGTTGTGGCATGGCATACTATTCTGTTATAGTTACAATAAGGAACCCCCAAACCCTAAACCCTAAACCCTAAACCCAAAAATAGTGTAATTGGGTAACTATTCAGGCTTCTAGAGGAGACTCAGTAGCTTCGTAGGGATTCAGGGCTTACCCATAGGCCAACCCTAAGTGTTTCCAGTTTTATGGTTTAGATTTAGAATCCTATAAGGCGATCCCAAGAAGGAACTACTTAAAGGGCCTATGGGTATGTAGTTTAGGGATTTCGAGAGGCTTAGACTCAGAAGGACGTCTGTTGCGACGCGATGATTCATGCGGTTTGCCCGTACCGAATCACCAAGGGGTGCCGTAACAAGCAGAAACTCCCAAGAACACCAGAATCCTCTGAAACCACCTACTACAGACGCCTTACCTTCATCATTGGAACAGTTTTGGGGTCTGTTACGGTAGAACTATAGTCAAGAACCGTCAGGACAAGAATTGGTATTTAGTCTCCTATATTATCTGCGGCCAAAAAGCATCTCTCGTGAAAAAAAGATCGGTCAAATCCACTCCAAACTGTCACCACAACTCCAAACCCCTCTGTGCCCAAGACTAGGCTGAACCAGGCAGAAGAGTCAGCACCCGAAATGACCAGCAACAACCACTTCTGCCCTGTACCCCCAAAACTCTGAACTCCAGCCTATACCATGAACACTCAACCTTTATATGTCCCAAAGCTTCAACCCTATGTCACCAGCCAACATGTGTCCCATCCTGTCCCGCTGACACCCCGTTGCAGACGGCCGAAGCCTGAGATGCTAGAGCTCTAGGGCCCTTGAAAATTAGAGTAGGGTTTAGGGTTTAGGGCCCTTGAAAATTAGCATAGGGAAGCGGAGGGTAACACCAACTCATAATGAGGAAGTGAGGAAGCCTAACGGGTATAGCAGAAGAAATAATTTCGGCTCCTATATCCTTGTGACCTTCGGGACATCCACGACTTGGTCTAGCATTACGGTGTAGCCTTTAGCGTATAGCAGGGTTTCTCAGGTTTGGGGTATGGGCCTGGGCTGGCTTAGGGTCTCTGGTAGAGCTCCTCAGCTGCCACAGTCATCATAGCGTCTCGGCGTCTCGCCATACTGGGCAGAGACAACGAAACGCGACATATGAAACGCTGAACAGCATTCAGAAAAACAGCTCTACAAACACACCCCGAAACCTGCCACAATACATCCTGCTTCACGTAGTTTGGATAACTAACACTCCAAGGCGTCAGAAAACCCATGACAAATGAAATCGGAACCCTCGAAGGAATCCTAGACTCTGACGGAAGCAAGGGATCCTTCAAGATCAGGTATTATATATATATATACATACATACATATACATATACATATAAAAATCCATATACACATACATATACATGCATGTACACGTATATTGTGGTTATATATATACATACCTACAACCTCCTTCAGTCTATTAATTCGGACTGAAAGGTATTCAGGCGACTGAATAAGAAGTGTCCGGGTAAAACAGACTGCGGGCTGAATTGCCTTTTCGATGTTTGTTCGGAAAATTTAGAGATCGGAAGCTTTGTAGCAGATCCTCTCTAAAGACTCTAAACGTTATGTTCGTGTATCTCGGACTGAAGCTGCGCTCATGGGTCATGAGCTGGCTCAAAGCTTCTTCGGGCCCTGGAAATCTTGTGGAATCCTGAAGGTGCGCCCCTCCCTTTCGGAATGCTTCGCTGGCCTGCTATGTGTGTGACAGTGCTGCATGGATTGTGGCACCAGTGTGGCAAATCAGCCGTTTCAGCTGCCGCAGCTAGTAGTAGGAACTCCTTCGGTCCGTAGGAAGGCATGGCTACCCTACATTTGGGCGTCGTGCTCAGCTGCGAACTCCAAAAAGAAGGCCTGTAGTAGGTGGCGCATTGCAAAGAAGAATAGGGAGGCCCTCACAAATTCAATCAAGCCCTGTCCCGATCCCTGCCAAGACTTTTCGATCTGCCAGCGCCTTTCTGGCTTCGTTGTCAGGAGATGCTCTTCGATACGACCCCCGAGGTCTCGTCAGTGGGGATTAGGCCATAAACTATCTCATGATGAACCTTTCAGGTTTAGGGTGTACGGTTGCGGGTCTTGAACCTAATGCCCTTCCTTCCTGGTCAGGTTCCCATCAGTGAAGATCGTGCTTGGACCCTCCTGCAAAACTACCGGCTGAGGGGGGTGGTGCATTACTTTGCTACCATTCTACGAAGTGCCGCTGGTTCCTGAGTCCTCACCTATAGAAGGCTTTCCGAAACATGAGCCACTCCATCGCATCGCTCAGGTGAAGCATCGCCATGACCTGCTGGCAGTCACGACTTCCAGAAGCATCACAGGGGAACTTCCCTTGACAGTTGGGGAGACAACAACTTGGGAAGATGACTGCTGCTAAAAACTGTCCTTGTGCATGCAGTTGTTGCGCTCACGGTGTGCAGCCGTGCAAATTTTCAGCATTGTATACATCTCCCTGTGCACGCAGGTCCTACATGCTGGCTCACTGATGGTTCGCTGGCGCTGGCGACTCCTTTGTGCTGCAGTGCCCTCCCTCGCCCCCCGCCCCCCCTTCAGTCCGCCCACTGCTTCCGCGGCTTGCTGTCACGATGATGTCGCAACAAGGGTGTGGCTTCTGGTACGTTCTGCTTGCTCAATTTCTGTCAGGCTCGAAAGCCAGGCTAATATCAGGGTAGGTTCTGTGTAGCTTAGAACGATCAGCTCATGCCGAAGAAAGAGCGCAAGGCCGACGAGTTGGCCTTAGAGGGGCTCGCGGAAAAGTGGGAAGAGGTGAAGGAAATCAGGAAGCGGATGTTGAAGACTGGCAAGCGGCTGGTTTGGGAAGAGCCGAAAAAGGTCGGCATCATAAACTTCGAATCCATGCGGCCCAATGCTTCGGTCCTGACGGTTTTGCTTCACCACTACCTCGACCCCGTGCCCGAGTTGAGAACGATCAATGTTTTTGCAGCACGACGTGAGGCAGAGAGTTGGAAATCTGTTTGAGTGTCGATCGTTGCTAGGTTCCTTGTGTGTGTGTGCGCGTGTGTACTGTCCCGCAGATTGCCAAAATGCGGGACGATCTCCATCTTCCGGCGGATCCGATTAAGGTGGCATGTGATGCATCCTCCCTGCGGTGCTTTGTGACGTACATGATTAAGCGTCACAACGGAGCCAGACGCAGGGCTCCTCTATGGCAGCCCAGGTTGTATCGATACCATCCATGTCTCGAGCTTGGGTACAGTATTCATGTCCCTAACTTGATAGACCGAGGATCCTGTCATTCGGAAACTCTTCGGTGTCATGAACCACTACTTCGAGGTTCAGCCGCTGCCGGGGGAGGCAGAGGCCGGCGAAGAAGGAGAGGAGGAGGAATGCAAGGAGGAGGATGACGAAGTTGATCCCGATCGCATCGATTTCTATTACCGAAATTTTGTCCCATCAGACGAAATTTTGGCCGGTGACGCAGACCCCGATGACAAAGAGCTCTATGATATGCTGTCCGGAGCCTTGGTGGCAGCCCCGGACACCCAGGTGGCAGCCCCGGACACCCAGGTGACAGCCGCGAGCACAGTCAAGGCGGAGGTGATTGATCTTGAGGAGGAGACTACTCCTCCTCCTCCTCATCCTCCTCTCCGGAAGTTAGCCGTTTTTGGGTCGGACCCTCGCTTGGCTCGTCTGGAGCAGCTCCGGTTGCTGAGATGAAGATAGTTGTTTCAACATGCGTAGGAGTTACATCGGTCGTCACGGGTTTTGTGTATTCCAGGCAAGAGATTGAGAAGCGCAGAAGGACTTTGACTTGTGCGAGGCCGCTCACTGCAAAGCAAGAGGCAGCCCCTACCTTGGACGTGGAAACGCAGCCCATGGATTTATCGCCTGTTGCTCGTGATCTTGCGAAACAGTTCCAGGCAGTAGCTGCAGACGACAGCCCGGATGCAAAACAATTCCAGGCAGTAGCGGCAGACGAAAGCCCGGATGCAAAGGTCGATTGTCCACCTGAGCCGTCGCCGTGCTGCGATGCTACTGCTACTGATGCCAAGACGGCTGCCCCCGGAATGCTGCCAAGGACGACTTGTTCCACTTCTCGGATCCAGACTTCAACCGCAAGGCCCAGTTCCAAGCCAAGGCGGCTTTGGACTCGGGTTCGGGTGGTGCAATGGAGGAGACGGGCGGGCTTGGAAAAGTGCGGGGCAGGCCCAAGGGCAAGGGGAAGGCCAGACCCAAGGCTGCAACGCAGCCGAAGGCCGAAAGTGATCAGCCCAAGCCCAAGCCGAAGGGTAAGGCCAAGGCAAAGGCGAAGGCAAAATCAGCGAGCAAGGCCAGTGCGATCAAGGAGTCCGACGTGCAAGACAAGCCGGATCTTGTGGATGCCCCGGCAGGGGCAGGGACTGGAGACTTGGGTGCGGAGCCATCAGCTCCGAAGCGGAAGCGGGAGGTTGCCGACGGAGTGCCATCTTCCGGCCATGACCGGAAGAAGGCGAAGAAGGAGGCTGTCAGCAAACCGAATGCTTCTGCCAAGACCAGGGCGAAAGCCCGTGCCAAGGGCAAGGCGGCAGCTGAGAAACCCTCTCAGGTGGATGGCGAGGCAGCGAACGACGAGATGCCGGCCGAGGAAGAAGAGACGGCTGCTGTCAAAGTCAAGGCGACTTTTGCTAGCAGGGCCTGTCCTACTCGAGAGGCCTTCGCGAAACAGAAGTTCATCTGCATCCGGGAGTCCTTCGAGCTTTACGTGAAACACCTCGTGACTTTCCCTTCCAGTCGCGAGGACTTCTTGCGCCAATGTGAGAGCTGTATGATGTGAGTGCATGGGTATAGTGAGAGTGAGAGATTGTTTTTCTGAGTGGCAGGATGCCTACTGGAAGCATTGCACGGAGGCCTTGTCCGAGGAGATCAAGGACAAACGTGGATCCGGTGTGCTCTTGGACCTTCGTAAATGCTGCAAAAGATGCGCTGAAAGTTTTCTGACTTTGGAGTCTGTTCAACGTTTCTTGCTTGCATCAAAAACTGTGTTTCCTCATGTCCCAGCTCTCTTGTTCCGGTGGTGCACTGTGCTCTTATGATCTAATCTAAGGGTGGCTGATCGGTGCTGACAGTGCCTGATGGCAAGACTGGCTTGTCGATCTTTGCTCGGCGCAAGTGATTAGATTTTGGGGTCTGTTGCTGTGCTGTGTGGGTCTGTTGGATGAGGTCAGGGCCGCGGGCAATAGCTCGCATGATCAGCGCGATTTCCGATAGTGTTCAACTAGCATGATCCTGCGCCCCTGCCTCGGTATGCCAACAGCTGGGCCTGAAAGTGCCAATCCGAAAGCCTGCGACGGCTGTTGGTGCATTAATCTGGGACCTCCCGGCTCGAGCTGTGGTGAAAAGAAATATGCTTCTGCTTCCGTTTAAGAGCTAGAGATTGCCACAAAAGCTGCAGAAACTTGTCTGACTCATGCAATGCCGAGTGTGAGCCTGCTACCGGAGCCTTGAAGCCCGACACCCCAGTAAACGTGAAACCTTAAAGCAATGACTGGTCGTTTCGCGCAGGTACTGCTGGCCATGAGCCGCCTTCCAGCTGGTCTGGCAGTGTACGCGAAGCACGGCCTGGCTCAGAGTGCGCCAGGCTTGTTGATTGACTGTGTCAGTCCGAGTGCAGCTTGAGATCGGGATTTGCGGGAGTCTCTACTGCTGTAGCTTGTGGGCTTTTTTGTCAGTTCGGTAGTGTACTTCCCATTACCCGAGCCGATGGAATCGACCACGGGCCATGGATGGTATGATCTGTCCGAGAAGTATATCCGGATACTCACGACCCTGGCTAGGCTTGGAGCACCAAAGGTTGCTTGAAGTAGAAGTTTCACCCAGCAATCACAGATTAGCTATTTTCCTTGACTAACAAGCCCGTCCTACTTTCCGATCCCTACATTTTTAACTGTAAATCCCCAGACCCACCTTCTACCAGCACACAAGCCATCCCAGGAATTCATTTGTCTGGTCATGTGCCTCATGAAGCTGACCATTCTCGAGGAGCTTGATTACTACCATGTTCTAGACTTCTTCGCAGGCAAGGCGAGGATAGCCCGAATCGCGAAGTCATGTGGCCTAGCAGCTGCAGCTCTCGATAAAGAGTATTGCGATGGAGATAACCGCAAGAAAGCCAACAGTATGGATGTGAATACGAACGCAGGCTTCTTGTGACTTGTCTCGGCTTCGATAGGGGTTAGAATACACCTCCGGTTTGAAATTCTTACTAGGAATACTAGAATACTACTACGTAGCTGTACTTGTAGAAGTCGAGCTAGTGGTTTAGGGCCTAGTGTTTGGGGGATGAGGGTTGTAGAAGTCGTGCTAGTGGTTTCGGGCTCCTAGGGTTTTAGGGACTGGGTAGCCGTAGTGGTGCGAAAACAAGAAACCCAACCCCCCAAAAAGAGCCTAAAACTGGCCTTTTACAACCCCCCATTGAGGGGCTCCAAAATGGGATGTTGTAAAACCCCGATTCTAGCCCTAAAGCTGGCCCCAGACAAACGGGGGTCTGTACAACCCTGACTTTTGCTGTAAGAAGGGTTTTAATACCTTAATCCTAAACCCCCCAAGCCGTAAAACCCATTAAACCCTTTAAGTACTACTCCTAAAATCCCTCAACCCTAAACCCCAAACTTTCGATTACCAATCTGGTGGCCTAGGTTGGCATACGGTTTAATCCTGCAGAGCAAAATGGGTGCTTTCCTCGCGGTTTTTGGCATTCTGCTCTACTTGGGTTGACATGAGCCGGGGAAGTACGCAGCGGTCCGAGTTCTTGCCAACGGGGACATTCACAAGCCCGGAAGTGTATCGACACAACAAGCTTGCGTCGAGGTGACATACCGAAAATTAAGGAGTAAGTCGATAACCCCGAATCCAGCAGCGCATGCCCAACAGGTCTGTGCTTCTGTTTCTCTTGGTGCTGGCCTGCGGCGGTGCACCGTTGCTGGAGCAACCACGGAGCAGTCTCCTGCAATTCTTTCCAAAATTTCAGTGGCTTCTGAGAGCTCTTGGGATGCGACGGATCAGGGTGGCTTGAACAAGTCGAAGCAATGCAGTTTGCTGTTTTTTCGGTCTGGAGGGCTGCTATGAATTCGTTTGCCTAGGTTTGGAGGCAGCCCCTATGGCTGAAGCTGTACGGCCACACCAACTTAAAGCGGACCATTCTTTGGTCAACGTCTTCGTGGATCTCAAACTTCTGCTTGGGTCGGATCCAGCATGGACTGCACGAGACGACAAAGAAGGCAGCAAAGTATGCGGTCAACAAACATGGTAAGAGGACGTACACTGGGACCCCGAACTTGAAGCAGACCCAGTGCCTGGGTAATTTAAGTAGTCAACTGGTTTGAACAGAAAGCACCACTTTCGGAAGCTGAAGGTCTGAGCCCGAACCCTCTTCAGTCACAGAACCTTTTTGCGACTCCAAACCATCCAGAACCCTAGGTTGGCTCTAAACCCTTAGGCCCGAAACCTAAAGCCACCCAAACAATGCAGCATCCCAGGAGCTATCCCGTGAAATTTGCAGCAAAAGTGGTTCTTGGTCGAAGGCACCTCTTGGCGCAACAGCCTGTCATCCGGGTGTCCTGGCAATTCCAGATATTCAAAGCAGCCGTTATAGGTGTCGGGGTTGCGAGTGTTCTAGCCCTACTGGAAACCTGCAGACCCGAGGCACCATTCCAGTACTCTGGCCTCCTAGCAATGCTGAACAGTGTTCCTATCCAAGACACCACATGGAATGATGCAGAGCTCTATGCCGTGAACGCATACTTGTATGGGAGCAAGCACTTGCACTTGCCTCCAGAGTTGAAGCAGGCAGTGTCAAGCTCAAGCCGGTGACGGCAAAGCTGTGGATTCAGGATTCCTCATGGTTGGGAGCTCTCCGAGCAAAACTGAGTGCCCGATTCAGCCGTTTTTACCCAACATTCAGCCGTTTTTACCCAACACTCGGGCGTGTTTACCCGTACACCCGTTTTGAGCTGTTCTTCGTGCGCACCGACACATACTGTAACCGTTGCTTTCGGCGCCTTTGCTTCTCCCATGGCTCTGTTTTGGGCCCAGGTGGTGCCCCGTTAGCGGTCCTAGTCCTAGGGTGGCTCAGGGCAGCCATGAGCTTTGAGAGCCGGTCTCACTCGACAGCCTGGGCCTAGTTCGATCCAACTCGCTGGCCTTTACCTCCGATCCTGAGCTGGTACGTATGGAACAAGAACTACAGGACACATGTGCCCCAACTAGATTCTGTCACCCCTCTATACAAATGCTAGCTAGCCAGCTGGGCCAGCACCATGTAGATTTCCCCGCAGGAACTGAAGAAGGAGATTGCAGAGCCTGCCGAGCCTCTGTCCGAAGAAGCTCTTGCGGATCTGGATGACGACGAGCTCCAGATCCTCTTCTGGGCCAAGGCTGGATGATCGTTGCACTGTGTTGGTACTGCGGCCAGTCCAGTTCAGCTTTCAGGCAACTTCGGGAGACGCAGTTGGGCTGCAGGCTGTCAAGCCCGAGATGTTGGAGGAACAGACAGCCCAACCGGTCGGTGTGCTGCCTGCCTCGGCGCCAGAGCCTCCCTCGTTCGAAGCTGGCCTGTCACAGGGCAGTCTCGGTGACACGTTGCTTGATCCTGCTCCTACTGAGGATGCTGTTGCGACGCAGCTAGAAGTTCCAGCCCCTGAGTCCCACCACGCTGCTCCGCCAAGCCCTCCGCAGCTTGCACCTCCACCCCGTGAATCCCAGCATGCTGCACCGCCAGGCCCTCTCATCGCTACTGTGAACGCAGGATCTCAAGCCAACCCGAGGCCTCTTCGCACTGCTACACGCCGTGCTGCGCCAAAGTCAGAGCCTCCTGCGCACGTTTCTAGTGACTCTGAGGACGACTTTGGAGTTGCAAGCCTGCCACCCCCGGAACTGTCCGTAGAAGCTGTGAAGCAGCGAATCCGAAGAATCTTCACCCCGAGAGCTGATGGTTCCTACCTCGTGGCTGCTGACTTTGTCAAGCAGTGGGCTGATAAAAGCCCCCAAGGGGGCCGAGACAAGCTTATGGCACTGTTTGAGAAAACTGCTTATCATCGGGCGGGGCCTGTGAACAAAGCTTCTTGTACTCGGATTGTGCTCGTCTTGTGACTTTAAACAAGAATCGCTTGCATCCCTAAAGGAGCTGTTTATCAAGCGATGCAAAGCTATCGCTGAAGAAGTGGAGGAAGAATCCTTCGAGATAGAGGGCGAATTTCTGACACTCCTGGACATGGACAATTTGGGATTCAGTGCGCGTCTTGCCTATTATTGAGACAGACCGAGACCCCCGACACTGCAAATTCCTTGCCCCTCCCAGGAGCAAGAAAGAAGGAATCGTCCGCTACTGCTCCACCCGGCCTTCCTTGATCAGGCTGCGGTCGTCGCTCTGGTGTGCCAACTTGCCCTGTCTCCTGGCCAGGCAAAGCAAATACGGGGAAGGAGACATGTACTGGACCTCCGCATCAAGGGGAAGCTCTCGAGACTCATCCGCATAGTGGCGTTGCTAAACACTTAATGCAGCTCTGCGTCGGGGCATGAACCTCTGAGCATGCAGGAAGACGAAGCGCAAGATCGTGCAGGAATTGATGGAATGGGACGAAGAGGCATCCTCAAAGGATGAGGTGAAGAAAAAGCACAAATTCGATGACTGGGACCTGTCGAAATCCGATAGTTCCCAAGCTCAAACAATGCCGTTAGATTACGTACCTTAAGTGTCTAAAGGAAATAACCCTTGGGTTTAGGACGGTAGTTCTATCGGTAAAATAATTTGGGCTAGTACGTTTCATTCAGGTACGTGGGCGTGCCCCTATACCGGTGTGTGGTCACATGATCATCCAACTAGTGTCTACTCACGAGCTGTGAATTCTGAGCACCCAAACCCAAAGCTAAACAAATTCCCACCTGCCCCACGAAGCCTGGATAGAAGTTCATGCCCTAACCTCAAACACCCTAGTTAAATTAAACCCTAGACTATGGCATAAACCATAAAACCTAAACCTACTTCCCGGTCAACCGCCTAGGTGGTGCTTTCTCGGCCGTCCTGGACGTGGAAGCCGAGGACGAGAAGGTCAGCGATGAGCAGCTGGCTGTCGATTCAGGAAGCATCGCCAAAAAGGTGAGTTGGCCCGAGATCGCACAGGACGCTGCCCCCAGCAGTCTGCTACACCCGTGCAAGAAGTGCGTACAACGGCATGAGAAAAAGATCGACCTGTTGGCGGAACGGTTCGTCAAAGACAACCCGAAGTTGACAGCTTTGCAAGAACAGACCCCAACTCAGTCGATACATCATTGATCCCAATAACCCGACTCCTCAGCTAAGCCCCTATCCTGCCTTAAGGCTGAAGACGAAGCTGCTGACGGCCCAGAAGGACCTCTCGGAATCGGTGGACACGATCGAGGCAAAGATCAAGGAGGGTACGCTGGATGGTTTTACACGTGGGACACCTTTCTCAATGGTTTGTAAAGACTGAGACTTAGGGTTCAGAGACTTGGTTTTGTGATGTTCTACTAGGTGGAGTCCGCGGCTAAGGATGAACAAAGAGATCAAGAAGATGCTTTCCCAGATGCGACAAAAGTCCTGTACTCGGGTTCTGTTTCTCGAAGACTTCGGGTGTCGCTTATGTCTTATGTTGTAATTTCTGATGCTAAGGGTGGTCGATGCTTTGCTTCTGCACGATCGTGCAAAGCGAGAGCCTGAGAAACTTCACTCCAAAGTAAGGCTGTGTTTGTTTCTCTCGGGCCTGTTGCTGGGATCGAGGTGCCACGCGCCGGCCGAGACATCCCCGTCTGCAAGCCCAAAGGCCAAAGCTAAAGCCCCGGTGAAGGGAAAGGCGAAGGCGAAGGCCAAAAGCCGAAGTGTAGTGAAGAAGAAGGCTGAGGCTCCAAGCACCCCTAGCTCCACTAGGAAGCCTCGAAAGTAGGCTCATTTTGCCTGAATTCTGCGACCCTGCGAACCACTTACTGTACCTTCGACAGTAGTAGCTAGCATCCTCGGGGCACTATACTTGCTCTCACTCAGCAAAATCTGGGTATGCGGGGAGCGCAGGAACAGGTCGATGCACTTCGTGTTCCACAAGGAATGCAAATTTGTCTATTCAAGTTGTCCTCATAGCTTGGGTGGAGACGGGGTCCAGCGCATGCAAAGCCAAAAACAGTTCCGAAAGCAACCACGTGAAGCCAAGCCCCTACAAATCCAAATTCCCTCACCAAACTCTCGGCCAGGTACTCTCGACGAAGCTTCTTCGGAGGACGATGTTCTGCTGGAGCATCTGGCAGAAACGATGGAGGATGGGGTATGGTCCTCGGGCTTCTGGGCATAGGACTCTGACCCTGAAACCTTAACCCAACCCCTAGACCTCTTATAATATCAATTTTGGAGTGGTTCAAGGTCCCGGACCCAGGCAGTGGCTTTAGGCCAACTTTAGGCTTCAGGGCGTTTCGGGGTTTTAGGGGTTCTACCCGTTCTGTGCTTCCTCCAGCAAGGTTAGGGGTTCCGATACAAGTTCTAGAAAGTGCTAAGGCTGCTGGGCCTCGTCTTTGGGGCATGGGCTTCTTGTAGGGCTGATGGGGTCTAGGGTTTGTGGATTTAAGGTTTTGGCTGGCAGTGAGCCCCCAGCTGCAGAGGGGTGTTGTTTGTTCTTGCGTTCAGGGGCTTCGGGTTTGGAGGGCTTAGGGTCAATAATGTTTTAGGTTTTGGGACTCCCGTTCACGTAGAGAGGGTTCAGGGTCTCGGGTTTGGGGTTCGAATGAATCTGTTGCTACTGCCTGCTGCTGCTAGTAGCATCTGCTGCTAAACGATCTGTCCAAGCACTTACCTAGCTACTTAATTAGCTATCTACCCACTTACATGGCTCAAAGGATGCTTGGGATTTGGACTTCAAGAAGACAGTAGTGTTGTATCTTTAGGCGTGTAGGGACTAATAGTAACTGCTCAGCGTCTTCCAATGCAACACCAAACCATTGTCCGAAGCTCTTTAACCCGAGATACAGTTCGTAGTTTCGAAAGTACAGCTGAACGCGCCAAGATTAGATGGTAGTGAGATTGAAATCCTCAGCCCAAAGAACCATAACAAGCGACCGACCCTGCAGCTGTCAGACCATACCAAATCGGTGCTTACTCCCCAAATCCTCGCTATATTGAAAACCCCACCCCCAAAAGATAAGTCCTAGTCGACCCAGTCCAAGTTTCTCCTAGGCCCAAGCAGTGTCAGTGAATCGAGCCGTTCGTGCTCGTTGTGGGAAGAGGCCACGGGCCTCTGGCGAGAAAAATCCAGAGCGCGATGCTCAGCGGCTTTTTGAAAGATCTAACCTGTCACTGCCAATCAAGATTGAGACTACAGAACATGCCACAGCTGATGCATCGTTGTCGGTTGTCAAGACCTACCATGTCCGTCCGCAGAGCTGGGTGCAATTCCTTCTGACTGAGTGCCCCGAGTTACTAGGTGGAAGCCCCGGTGACTCCTACTCCAACTTCGAATGCTTTTGGGATCTGTACAGGAAAATACACCCCAGCCACGAGATCTACAAAGCCCATGCTCAGCGGCTTTCTTGGGTCGTCCCCCTTTGTATTCATGGGGATGAGGGGAGGGGTCTTAAGAAGTCAAATTACTTGGTGATGAGCCTACAATCTCCTCTAGGCGCTAACCCAAGGCCCTCCAAGCGTAAATGCAGTTGTGACGTGTGCCTTCGTGATCGCAGCGATCTCCCGTTCGGCGACAGCCCATCTCCATCCCTCAGCGGAAAGACGAAAGAGTTCGTTAACTCCATATGGTGCAATTTTAGGGGTCATTCCTACTTGTCAAGGTTTCTGCTGTATGGGCTTGCTGGGTGGCAAGCCAAGAGTCATCCAGAAGTGCCGAAGGCTATGTACAGGCTTTTAGCTTCGGACCTGCAGGAGCTTTTCCATAAAGGAGTCGAAGTACCAGGTCGAGGTCTGGTTTATGGGGCTGTCATTGGTTTGAAGGGTGACATGGATTGGCACAAGAAGTGTATGCATTTGACACGTAGCTGGCTACATGCAGGTCAAGAGTCTGCAGGTGAAATCTGCCATTGCTGTTTGGCCGGGAATAGAAATTTCCCGTTCGAAGACTACTCCGAGAACCCCCGATGGTCCCAATCCTTGTTGTCTTCCCGGCCATGGAGTAATAGCAACCCCCCTTCCTTGCTGTCAATCCCGTTTGATGCTGCCGAGCCTCCTACGCCTGAGTACATCATTAAAGGTGATTTGTTTCACATTATGAAGACTGGCTGTTGTCGGGATGTCATTGGGGGGGCAGTGTTTTTTCTTTGTCGCAAAGGTTTTTTCGACTTAGAAGGTTCGTCACAGAACCTGCCAGACAGGCTCGACAGAGCGCATGGCCACTTTAAGCTTTGGTGCAAAGCCGAAAGTGTGAGCCCAGGGTTGCGATCTTTTTCCAAAGCTTTTTTCAACATAAAGACGATGTTGTCCGCACCTTGGAGCAACAGCAAAGGCTCTGACACAGTACTGTTACTGCGATGGCTTTCGTTCTTCTTGAGTCTTCAGCTGAAGCATCCTACTATTCCTGACAACGGAGGCCATTCCAGGTGGATGAACGTTATGGTCCAAACCATCGAAGCTGCACGGACCATCCTCTGCTTGATTCGCCAGCACAAGTTGTTCTTGCATCGAGCTTGTGGGCGCAGATTGTACATTACAATAATGCGCTTTTTGAGAGGCTATCAACACCTTGGCAAACACCTCCTAAACCTCAGCATCAGAAGCTTCCTCCAAAAGCCGAAGTTACATGCTCTTCACCATGTTGCATGGACCCTGCGATGCCAGCTGCTGTCAGGGGGGCCCATGCTGAATCCCGAATGTTTTTGTTGCGACATAGACGAAGACTTCATTGGCAGAGTATTGAGGGTCAGTCGCAAGCTGGACATTCGCCAGTTGGACAAACGCGTCCTACAGAGGCACTTTTTAAAAGTCCGAGCCCTTTTGAACAAACGAAAGCGCCACAAGCTTGCATAGGCGTCAGGGTGTTGGGCTAGTCAGTGCAACTTACCAAGGAAAGCTTTAATGCATTAAGTGCCCCTACTGTCGCAAGCTGGGCAGCACGTCGAAACTGAGAGCGTGGCGAGGAAAAGCATCCAGCCGCCGATCGCTGCAAAGCTACGAGACTAAACCATGTCTTTAGAATAGTGGTTGAAAAGGTCGAGTGTTGTTCATTCAAGAACCTATCTCTCCCCCAGTCAATGCCTTGCAAGTAAAAAGTCACTACGTGTATGAAGAACTTGAATCACATGGAGCTCGATGATCCTGATAAGCCCTGCCCAAACGACATACGTCTGGGCCTCGGCCTGATTTTTCTCATGCGGGCTGATCTTCCCTTCGCGGTCTGATTATTTCCATTCGGGCTCTTTCTGGGGCTGAAAGGCTTCGGGCTGATATTCCAGGCCCCGGGGGTTCCAGGTATATATATATATACATACATATACATATACGTATAAAAGTATATATATATATGAGAGAGAGAGAGAGAGAGAGAGAGAGAGAGAGAGCGCGAAAGAAGGAAAGAAAGAGATCATGGTGTGACATGGTGGTTGAGGGTTTTCTGGCTTCAGGGCTCCAGGAGATGTCGTCCTCGTTATCGTCTTCGTAGCAGCCGTTATCTATCGGGACCTTTGTGATACGAAATAGAGCGCTAGGCCCGAGGAATACTGGTTCTAGCTATTCAGGCTCCTTTTGTTGGTCGTGGCGGTGGTAGGAATAGTGGTAGCATGTATACTATACCTGCGGCTTTTGTTGTTGTGGTCGTGCAAACAAAACTTAAGGGCCATGCTTACCAATGAATGCTCCTGCGATGGACTTCCACGGCAAAAGGCTTGAAACTTGTCGGAACTCTAAACCCTAAACCCTCAACCCTCTAGATTCCGACAGACCCCCCCCCCCCGCCGTTTCTGCTCAGGGTCTAGAGAAGGCATAAGCTTCCTTACGAGTCGATGTCTTGGGTCCTTCGCCGCCACTCATAATGCTAATCAGGTAACATTGATAGATAGATAGATCGATAGATAGATAGAGACAGATAGATAGATGGATGGATGGATGGATAGATAGGTAGATAGGTCGATAGATCGATAGATCGATAGATCGATCGATAAATAGATAGGTAGATAGATAGATAGATAGATGGATCGATCGATAGATAGGTAGATATAGATAGGTAGATAGATCGATGGATGGATAGATGGATAGATGGATAGATGGATAGATGGATGGATAGATAGATAGATAGACCGATAGATCGACAGGTTGATAGATCGATCGGTAGATAGATAGGTAGATAGATAGATGGATCGATCGATAGATAGGTAGATAGACAGATATAGATGGTAGATAGATCGATAGATGGATAGATGGATAGATGGATAGATTGATGGATAGATAGATAGATAGATAGATAGATAGATCGATAGACCGATAGATCGATAGGTCGAACGATAGATAGATAGGGACAGATAGATAGATGGGTGGATGGATGGATGGATGGATAGATAGACAGATAAATAGATACCTGACTACAAGCTGCATATTTCTGCCTATGCAGATGTGTGTATACACATGCACAGATATATATGTATATCTATATATATATATAGATAGCTATTTGTTTGTTTGTTTATTTATTTATTTGTATCATTATGTGCATATGTGTATATATATATATGTATGTATGTATGTATGTATGTATGTATGTATGTATGTATGTATGTATGTATGTATGTATGTATGTATGTACAGCACATCGTGTGTCTGCGAGCAAGATGCCATCTTCTCCCCATTGGACGCCCCACGAGTTCTTGATGATCCAGTACGGCGTTCCTAGCTACGGCTCTCGTCCGATATCCAGGGTCGGGTTTGGCATCCTTCGTGATCATACCCTAAACCCTAAACCCTAAACCTAATAGGGTGCCCACACACGAAAAATTGCAAAGACGGGTCGAGCTCCTTCAAAGAGTATCGTTGCCGGCCTATCTCTAGCTAGCTTCACTCCAGCACACTTGCTTGCTCTGGCTCTCTGTCTCTCTCTCGCTCTCTCCCTCTCCCCCCCTCTCTCTNNTCTCTCTCTCTCTCTCTGTGTCCCTCTCATACACACACACACACACCCCTGCACCGGAAATAGGATCAGGAGTAGGACAGTGCGGCCGCGTAGTCTGCTCAAAGCAGAACACGCGACTTGGGCATCGCTTTGGGCCCTGTGCCCTAAACCCCAGAAAGTCCTGGAACTGTATGGTTGAACTACAGGAGCCCAGGATCCCAATAAAGGAATACAGATTAATTAAGATATAAAGAAAAAGGGATTCCGAAAATATTAAGGAATCTTCCCAAATTATAAATGGGGATTTTGGAAGGTCTGGGACATTGCACCTTAAGTCTGCCAGATGCACACCCCTCATAGGGCCGCACTCGCACCTAAGTTACCGCGCGCTTTTCTGCAGGTTTTCCGGTTTGGAGGCTTTCGCAGGCGCTTCAAGGACAGGACCCCCTTCTTTAGAAAGGGGGTGGGGGGTAGGGGGAGGAGGGCTGACTTCGTTCTGGTGGGGCCAACTTTTTCTGAAAAAATGGGCTCTGAACCACGCCGGCCTTCAAAACAAGGACTCTGAACCCATCCTGCCAGCAAAAGTCAAGACAGTGCATATATGCCTCCGAGAATGACAGTCAGGAGCCATGTAAAGAAAACATGCGACGCCCCAAGTTGCAAGGCTGCATGATCCCTGAAAGTCATGTTCACAGAATATTTGCACTGTCTTGACTTTTGCTGGCAGGCGCCGGTTAAAAGCCCATTCCACAAAATCCTGGCTTCCGAAAACCCCTGCGACATGGGGGATCTCCGATTTGGGGGGGATCGAGGCCTGATCCCCATCTTCGGAGCCGCGCACTGCGCTCTTTCCGAACCATTCCGAACCTATACTGCTGTTCCTATTTTTGGTGTAACCAAGTACATTTAGGATCCTATACGGTAGCCCCAAAAGGGAACTACAATGGAGACTATAGGAGCATCCTAGACCCTTAGCTCAGCGCCTAAACCATCCTAAACCCTAAACCCCGAACCCGAAGATCCAACCCGAAACCCTAAACAAACCCCTAAACCCAAACCCCCTAAACCCTAAACCCCTAAACCCTAAACCCTAAACCCCTAAACCCTAAACCCCTAAACCGTGAATCCTCCATCGGTGCCGTAGCCAACGAGGAGGACCCCGTGGTCGATCTTGATGCCACAGGTTGGACCAATGATTCCACCTCGAAGGATCTAGTCTGGGGGTTTAAGGGTTTGGGCCTAGGGTTTAGGGGTTCAATGATTCCACATCGAAGTTTAGGGTTTAGGTTTCCAATGATTCCACCTCGAAGGTAATGGCGTGTGCCTATAGTCTCCATTGCAGTTCCTTTTATGGGTTAGCTTATAGGACCCCTGAAATAAATTGGCTAAATAAACCAAACAAGGAGCCACAATGAAGACTATAGGTAGATTATTCATCCAATGCCTGTTCTGCACTTGCAGGGTGTGGGGATTTTAGGGTTTCTGGTTCGGGGCGCGACTTCGGAGTTTATGGTTTGGGGCCGATGTATAGTGGTGTAGGATTTAGACAGCTCCGAGACAGTGGCCACTAACAGTTAACTTTGACCCAGCACAGTAGGGTTTAAGGTTTGTTAAGGTTTATATAGGGCTTATATCGATGTTAACGTTTCCGGTTTACCGCGGCTCCGTCGATTCAAGAATCCCCCACGCAGGTTTGGGATACACGATGGGTAGCTGTGGATTGCTCTCGAGCATCGCACTATTGGCATTGCCTGCGGACGTATGGGGATACACGGCCTCAGGGTTGGAATTCAAGGCTTTGGGGTTTAGGGCTTCTTGAAATCGAGGCTCCCCACCACCCTTTTACTAACAAGGGTACCTTTCATGCTGTTCGTTTCGAATGAATCAGGAAACCCCAGCATAAAGCAGGCAAAAGGGTACTGCTGGCAGACCTTAGCATTTCGATTTCAGGCTGCGTCCTTCGCCGACTAAGAAGGTTGAGGGTTTAGGGTGTAGACTATGCGGCTGAAGATTTATAGAGGAGAAGGAGTAGTCCACGCAACCATAGTCATGTGTGACTGTATATTCTGCAGGCATAATCATAACCCCAGCCACATACTTCTAAATCCTAAACTCTAAACCGCAGCCCTCCGATATCCCGCTTTGAAGAAAACGTTTGCAAATCAGAACCCGGCTCTCTTCCTGGGTGATCCTGAACCAGAGGATATGGAAGTCCCATTTAAAAAAAAAAGGTTTAGGCTTTAGGAAATTATTAGGAAAGCCTTTTAAAAGCATGGTCTCCCGAATTGACACAAGATATATGGGATCTTCAAACGAAGGTCTCCACGGAAGGATGCCGGTGCATAACCCCATAGAGTGATAAGAAAAAACCCTATCACCCGAAGCCCATGCAGACCCTAAGCTCTTGTCGCTGAAGCCTTAAGCCCTGTTTTCGCCCTGTTCAAGAGATCTCTATAGTCTATGTCTCATAGAAGCATCATGTCTCCTGAGCCCCTGTACATCCTTAAGCCCAAACTCTAGACTCCTTCAATTCAACTTGAACAGGTTTTATAGGATCCTTTGTAGCCTTCTAGTACCTATAAAGACTCCCCATTACGAGACCCGAATGCTGGGAGTCAGAATCGGGGTTCCGGCTGTGGTACAACTGGAACCTCGGCAATCGCGAAGCCGCAAGCTTTTCGGGGGGTTATCAATTTTCAGACTTTCGGGCTTGAGGATTTTGGGGTTCCTTTTGCTCCAAACAAGACTAAGGTTCAGGTTTAAACCCCATACCCTAAACCCTATTGACCCTAAACCCGTTGATGGTTCGGGCAGCGGTCCCAGAGAGGAAGTCTTCTCGGTTAGTTCTGCCTTCCGACGACGAAGCCCGAAACTGGGCCCTAAACGAAGGAACCCTAAACCTTTTACGGATAAGGTTTTAAGGGTTTCGCGA